AGAACACTAAATAAATAAAAATATAGTTAGAGAACGAGTTCGTATTATTCATTGTGGGTTTGCAAACCTCCTACGCGTTGTGAGTAATCATTTGTTTCAACGCATTCTGACACCGTCCATATCTGGAGGCAGTTTTCTCCGTCAGCTACCAGAGCATTATGCAGAGATGGTCTAATTGGGTGGCCTCCATTCCTAAAATGCACCGTGATCACGCAACACGCATGTCCGGAGCCATGGAACGGAACGCATGAGACGAATAAAAGTAAACATCCAGGTTTTATAACCTACAAAATTACGAAAGCGTAGTTTACGTCTTGCCTTGACCTGTGTAACTGATCTGTTATTTGTGATGGGTGCACAATACGTCGCGTGTTCTGTTGGCTGTGGGCGTCTTGGAATAAGCACAGAATATATTTTAGATATGCTTGCCGACCACAAGCATTCGTAGAATTGTGTCATGGACTGGGGGTCTTTCAAAATGCGGCTCGTGAAGTCTTTTCAAGCGACCACGCAGTTGGAGTCCTCGAAAATAATCACACATTTCAGTCCATAGCAGATGTTAACGTGAAACAACAAAGTTAATTTTGATCACCGATGACCACAATTATCCGAAAGCGACATAATGAGAACAAAGACAGCGGGTAAATCTTTAACTAACGTTGTTGTTCATTTGTTAATTACCAAACGTTCAGCTGCTACAGAGATTCATATAATTAAGAGAGAAAATACTTTTCTTTCCGTGCAGTAATTGATGCATATTTCTAAGAAGAAAACTGAGGATGTCACAAAGACTGTAACACAACAGTCCGCGTTAGTACAAATGAAGCTTTTGAATCTCTTTCAACTTTCGAAAATGGTAGCGATAGGAAAATCCGTTGTCGAAATTCCCCCACTTAACTCCAACCAGTATATATCGAAAATATACTTTCGATCTTAAATGTTAAGAATTGGAAAATATTTAACGAAATCCGTTGGTGCATATTATTAAAAGCTCTCGTAAGATGGAGAATTCTTCTGCCGATGGAGCAGAGTTCTTGAGAATCTAATAGAACGCTCTGGTAGCCAAGAAATTCCCCGCGTTCATGCAACCCGCTAGGTTAAAGTTACGGATTGCCTCATCCAGGAACCTGACATGTGTCTGCACTGTTGCAGGCGCGCCAGAGGTGGCACAGGACGTGCGTATCGACTGTAACAGCAATGAGATATGGGTGGCCGTGAAGACACAGTCCGGGGCCTTCAACGGGATGATCTACCCCAAAGGGCTAAGCAAGAACTCGAGCTGCATGTCCGAGTTCGTACACCAGCGCAGCCCTGTGCGCTATCGCCTGCCCCTGAGGTCCTGCAACACCATGAGCACTGACCTTGTAAGTTTTCTGTCAAGCAACAATTTGTTGTGCATACGCAGGGATCAGGTAGTTTGGAAAATACATGTTAGGTGTGTGATGCTAAGCTCAACTTCACACACGAACCTTATTTTAATTTGTGTGACTACCATTACGTGCTCTTGTATATTTCAGGCACATTTAAGACAGAACTCTTATTTAGGTTCTGATTAAAATTATAGAAGAAAAGACACGTTTGATATAACTACAATTGCAAAGCCGTCTGTAAGGCTGCTTTGTCTTGGTCTTACTAAATAATCTGATAAATTCTGAGGCGTTTACAGTGGATTTGATTGCAGTTTCTTACTCAGTGGTGGTTGTTGACCCCAAACGGTCGAGGTGAGGCCTGTGTTGAAAGTGTGAAAGGAGGAGGGGTTTGTGGGGATCTGAATTGGCCGGGATAGCAGAATGGTGTACTTTTGTAGCAACTGTGATGAACATTTAGGTTATGTATGATTTGAGGTTTTCACAGCGATGGGTATGAAGATTTCTGTCTTCTGGGTTGTTGCGCTGTGTAGTCTGGTCGATGTTTACCAACGTTTCAGAGGTCATACTGCCTTCATCATCAGGGCAATGAATTCATGACCTCTGAAACGTTGGTTAACATCTACCAGACTACACAGCGCAACAACCCAGAAGACAGAAATCTTCATACTCTGATGACGGAGGCAGTATG